AGACATAAGTTTGCTCCATTACGATGCTCTACAGCTTAAATCAGCTGGTGGTAAATGCAGATCTTAAACAAGTATATATCCTGCCTATAGGATTTCATTACTGAACTATTTCATTTGAAGGAGAACTCCTGTGTTAACTATGACAGAAGTTTCCTTGGTAGTAAAGGAATAGTTACGTGGAAATGTAACATTACCCGCTGTTATTTGTGTATGACTTAGGAGCCACTACCACTGAAAAGAGGGCTGCAAAGGATTGAAAAGGTTTAGAGTGGAAAGAAGGAGTAACTGCTGTGATGAGCAAGCTCTGCATATTTGAAGTCCAGTTAGTACAGCTGTGATTTTTCAGATGAATTGCACAGATAATAATGTTAATTCAGAATTACCCATACTGTGGCTTATGACTAAATACCAATTTTACTATAGGATTCTGAAGTTGTAAATCCTAGCTGGAGATCTGTTTTGTGTGTATTGTGGCTGTAGATGCATAGCTAAATAGACTGATAAGTGCTTGCCTCTCCCTATTTGGAAATTTGGCAAACACGTCTCTCTCTTCTTACTCTTCACTGTGCTTCTTTTCCTCTGTTTTCACTCCTATAGTTAGTACTGTGCCTGTTTCTCCTTTTGAACACTCATAGTTTGTATTCAACCCCTTCCAACTGCCAGTTTACTATCTAATCCCTCATCTTCACAATTACTGTCTCTTAGAAATATTTCACTCCTTCAGCTATTTTTGGATAAGCAGTCTTTACGCTCTCCTAGTGTGAACTTTCCATGCAGAGAAAAAAGAATTCTTACCTCAAATCAAATAAATACCTGCAGTTCTGCGTTCAGTTCTGGGGCTCCCAGCATAAGTCAGACTTGGAGCTGTTGCAGCGGGTCCAGAGGATGGCCACAAGAACAATCAGAGGGCAGGAACACCTCTCCTGTGAAGAAAAGCTAAGGGACTTGGGCACATTTAGCTTAAAGAAGAGAAGGCTTGGGGAGACCTCATTGTGGCCTTCCCATACTCAGAGTAAAGATGAGGAGGGACTTTTTATCAGGGATGTAGTGGTCAAGAAGCAATGACTGTAGCAGCCAGGCTCCACCCCTTCTGGTCACACAGCTGAATTGCCTTCCCCTGTGCTCCCAGGGCTGACCAGGTGCTTTCCCCAGGTGCTCAATCAGTGGTTCAGGCTGTGATTTACAGTTATTATATGGGGTTGTACGTGCTACCATAACTCCTTGACAAGGTGTTTCTTTTTCATTCAAGAACTTCTTGCTTCTCTGTCTTCCACAGCATTTGATTCAATTCTAATCATATTGTAGATTTCTTCAGAGTGTGTTGTGAAGCAATAATAACCAGGACTGAAGTTAAAGCATTTCCCAGGCAGGATGCACGTAAGAACAAGCAATTAAATGTACAGTCACACTACAATGTACACCTCATATTTTGACACATTGCTCTTTCTGGAGCTTTGCTATTTCCGTTGAAGATACTGGTAGAAAAAGACAGCAGATTGAATATTAACTTCAGTACTGTGAGAAAAGAATTTAGGCCTCCTTACTTACAGACATTTTGAGTGAATTTCCCGTGAGAGCAGAAAAATCCTTATGTGCTCTGTGCACATACTGGAACCAGTTAAGCACCCTTTCCTCAAAGCAGGGTTTACATAAGGCTGAAAGAGGGAAGATTTAGGTGTTCCACACAGTGAGGAACAACTCACTCTTCCTCTCCTCTCTTACCTATTTGATGTCTGTATTCAATTATCCATTATCTTGTCCGTCAGGGGAAAAATAAGCCTATGTCTCTCATAAAACCGAAGGCTGATGCAAGGTGAAACAAAAACCAAGCTTTTGAATATCATTCAGTAGAAGAGTTTTTGCAGAAGCAATGTTACATAAAAAGCAACAACAATACTTCCATGAAAATCAGATAATGGAATGAAGTGTTAGAGTAGATTAAAAGCATGTCATTTCTGATTGCAATTAGTACATTACCTGCGTAAGCCAGGTGCTAAAATGACAGCTTCTATTGTTGCTAAACTACAGGTTCTCATGCCCTAAGGATTTTAATGCACTATATGGAGAAATCAATTTACTCAAAACCAAATCCATGGGAAGACAATTGAAGTACAAAAAGATTCCCAATACTGAAAGTACACTATAGAACCAGCATGAGAGATCTCAGATAGCTATTGCAGGAAGGCATCTGATGGGGTCATTTGCCATTAATTATCATTTGCCATTAATTATCATATGAAACTAATTGCTATGGTCAAATGCAGTCTTCATCAGAAAATGCTGCTTTTTACATCAAAATAACGCCACACATTGTGCAGTGGTGACAGAGATGCTCATGTCATGTGCCTTCCATTGTAGACTTTACCACAGTAATGCACACAGAAGTGGATTGTACCTGACACACAGAAGGATATTTAAATCCTGCTGTATGCACAGCGTTCCTGTGACTCACACGCAGCTGCTTTATGTTTCTATCAGGGCTATCTTTTCCAATTCTGTAATGCAAATTTTGCAGGTATTTTTTCAATCCTTCATCCTTCTGAAATGCTTTGGAAGGATAAGAGTTAATAAAAATGCATATGTTATAATTGTGTACTGCTGGAATAGCAAAAAGTGAGCATTGGCATTATTGCTGAGAGTGGAAAGAAGTGCTGTCCAAACAGAGAATAGTCTCTGAGAACCTAGTACTTTGCTCATCAGCAGTGAATTGACTGTGAATGCCCTGTCCATAACAGTGGTTCACAACACAGCTTAAAGTTTGCAGCACTTAAAAACCCTTCTTTAAGGTTCAAAGTCTAATGCTAGAAATCTTAACTATCTTTGGGTTTTCATTTTTGTAAGATAAGCTTTTAGAATGCCTTCTGAGCTTCATTGTTGCTGTTCACAGCCAAGATTAGATTGTTACTGAAATACTTGAAGGTTAGTTAGACGCTTGTACTGAAAAAATACAGTTTGGAAGGGACTTTAAAAAAACCTGATTAATAAATACAGACTTGCATCTTCTTTGTACTTTTATCAGGTTCTAGAGTGGGGTCAGTCCAGCTGTCTTCGGTTTGCTTTTGTGTCCTTTTCCACATTTAATACATTAGCTGAGATACGTTTGATTCGCTGCAAGATTTTGTTCAGCAAAATACACTATTGTGTAAATGCTAGTAATAAGTTGTTCAGCAGAGAACAGCTTCTCTTCATCTGTGACTCAGTAGAGATAGTAAGGAGTAATCGACTGTTTATATTATTTAACAGCTGCTTCTTTGGATGCAAATGAAAATGAAACTCGCAAATATTGTCATGTTTTTTGTGAAATGGAATGATAGAGAACATCAGCTGTGTCTGAAGAGTTTTGGATAGCTATGTTTTTCAACAGAGGATATCCTGTGGAAGCTAGCAGGACTTTTACAGAAGACATGCAAAAACTGCACTTTTCCCCCCTGACGCTTCTAATCAGCCTCAGGTACTTCTGTCAAGTGAAAGAAAGTTAGGAGTTGCTGAGTGCTCTCAGTTTGGATTGTCTTCTGTGATGCCCAGAGTGTTCAGCATTTTGCATAAACAAGTGGTTGGATTTTGGTAATCTAAGTGCCATGCAACATCTGCAAGACTGTAGGGGTTGGTTCTTGTACAGAGAAGTACCTGGTGATTTTGATTAGAGGATCACTCTTGAACTGTGCTTCAGCTTCTTCAGAGGAATAAATATGTAACCAATTTATAATTCTATAAGAAAGCAAATAAACACAACTTCTAACTTAGCTTCTTTTTCTGTTTGTTTTTACAGTAATAAAAAACACAAGAATGAAAACTGAGATAGAGAAGTGACCATGATTAACGAAGAGCACTTTCTGCACTCCTGATTTGCTGAGCCTTGTAGACGGAGTAATAATCAGTTGAACTTGTTCTAAGAATTGTTAGGATCTTTGAATTATAGAAAGAATGGGTAGACTTGGCGAAAGTGACATGAAACATTCCACACTCTTCTATCATCTGCTCTTGCTTGCTGAACTGTGAAGACCTGTGTGTTCGAGCTGCTTTCTACTATCTTGCCAATCAATTTTTTTGGACTTGAAAGTAATATTTTCTTATTGGCTCTCTAGTGATTTCATTTGCATGCATCTTGTAATTATGCAAACAAAATATATTATCTGCTTTACCTATTAAAAATAAGCACAGTGGTGAATAAAATTAATTTTTGCATATTTTCACCCTTCAGTTCTAATCGCTTAGATCCACAGAAGTGGAAATTGGAATTGATAGGAGGGTTAAGGTAAGCCTCTGCACATGGGATATGAAAATAAGCCTTTAAAGACATTTTCACTGTCGGTGAAAAGAAAAAATGTTATTTATAACAAGGCCTTATGTTGTGTATATATATTGTCTTCGAAATATTTTTGATTTTAGTTTATTTCTTGTAAGAGAGAAATTATATAATTTATTTAGTAAATACTACTGTAAACTATAGTTTTATTGATGAATAAAGTATTTTGTTCTCAAGACTATCTCAGCTGTCAGTGTGCTCCTGTTCTGGTATGTCTCATGGACTTGAGAGGCATCTCAAGAGATGCATCAACCAGTCTGTAAGATGGCATCTGAACTTACCTTCTGCCAGCTCTTTAATGAAGGGGGGAATCTTAAAGTTGCACAGCAAAGGGAAAGGAAAAAGCAAAGGGCATAAACAGTGCCTCAAGTGCTTCATAACAACGTGTCAAGTTTTTCTCTATGAGCAATTGTTTCAAGACAAATTCAGATACTGTTCTGGTTCCCTTAATTTCCCTTGCAGCTGAGAGACAATCACAAGCACAAGTTACAAGTTAAAAGACTTCTTACCTTGATACAACAGTGTTTAAAAACAAACAAACAAAAAGAAAAAGCTATGTAGCTGTCGCTTTGAAAGTTTATGGAAGTTACAGAGAGCAGTAGCTATTCTAGGAGTAAGTGCAGGTAAACCTGCTGCACTGCCAAGCCAGAATTTGGCACTTTAATTCCTAAAGTTCCGCTTTGTATCCCTGAAGAATTTTGCATTGGTACATTTTGCACTGATCTAATCCAGTAACATTAACAAGGAGGAGGTTATTTCTCCTTATGCACAGAAAAGAGAAAAGTAACGATGGACTGATGTCTTTTCTTAGAGCCTCTTTATTAACCTAGGGTCTGTGTTTCATGATTACCCTTTTTCCATGCTTTGAAATTGGATCGCTCAGTCTCAGCAAGGTAACGATCTTGTGTCATTCCTCACAGAAATGCTAGGGACAAATCTGCATGCCCTAAGGGGAAAAAAATTTGTAGATTAGAAGTGTCTGTTCAATCATGCATAGTGTGTACTATATTTAAAGTGTGGACATATGCAAAGTAGATAATTATCATTAGTTTTACTGGGAGTAAAATAAAAAGGTTTTCAGCACTAGGTTAACCTCCAGAAAGCAAATATTTGTCACATTTTCCCCAATGTTCCCAGTAGTGTCCCAATCATCTGTCCATGAGAAGACTCCAGAGGACACCAAATTTAATGCAGCCATTCTGTCTGAAACCACTATATCTATAATAAATGATTCAGAGAACGAACCACCCTTAGTGTACAGTGTCTTTAACATTTTCTTGTAAATGGAAACAGTCATCGAGCACTTGAAAAAGGAAATCCTTACAGACTATGGAGCGTACTGAGAAACCTTCACTAAAGCACACACAATTGCAGCTCTTTCTTAATAGTCATTCCCAGTTTAAAAACAAAACAAAAACATCAACAACAAACAACTAGTACTTCACTTTCTAGCCCTAAAACTCTGCAGCTTGAGAATACAAATTCCTGACCCAAAATGTGTTTTCTTGTTGACTTTCTTTACGCACGGGTAACTTCATTTAACTCAGTACTACTTGTCCAATCCTGAACGACAGGTGGTGATAACGAGCAGCTGGTAGTGCACCGCCTTTTCTACACGTAGGCTATTTGCTGACCCCTCTGCTGTGATGCATGCATTTGCTTGCAAAAGGACATCAGCTCTGCCCACAGTGAGGGCACGAGACCTGGTCTCACAGCTGCTTTGTACCTGGAGCTGCTGGGCAGTTACTGCAAGCCAGCTTAAGTGCTGACACCAAAGTGCTGGGATGTGAACATTAAGGAACAAAAATCAAGACTAAAGCCATAATAAAAGCATGCCAAAATTGCCCTCTTCTTGCCCCTCGTGTGAACACTGTTGACATTTTCTTGGCAGTTTTGATACATGAGACTGCTAATAATGAAGAAAGTGCTCCATCTACACTAATTCATGATTCATGACCTATCAAATCACTGGAACTGGCACAAATCACTGGAATTACAGGGAAACTGCCAGAAAACACCTATCTGAGGATGCTGTATAGGAACAACAGTGTGAACAAGAGCTACCTTTTCCTTAAATCAAATGTCACACGTAAAACAAACAATCTGCCGTTCTTCCTTCTGCTTTGCTCACCGACGTATGAAAAAGAAGCGGCTTTATGAGTGTACTATTGGATCTGATGAAAGTTTTTCCCTATCAGCCTTACCTCAGTATTTAGACTACTACAGCTGTGAAAATATCACTGTTTTTCTTCCAGAGGTGTTAAGCACGTGGGATCCGTCCTCAAGGAACAAGAGAGCATCTCTTCATGTACCACTCCAGGAGGGGAATGCAGCGAGCACACAGATCCACACAGCCCCATCTCCTGGGAAGATCTGAATTTGTTTTTGTTCCCACACAAAACGCGCTCTTTTATAAACTTTCACATCAGAACTAGCTCTTATCTCTCGCCTCTCCAGCTATGCTCAACGCTCTGTCCGCGTCGCCTTTATCTTTTCCGTTTATCCCCCCCAGCGCACTGCCAGTGACCGCCACACACCTGCCGCTTGGGGGCGCTCCGCAGCTCGGACCGCCCCGCTGGTTCGCTCGTTCGCTACCCGCGCCGGGGGCGCCGCACGGCGGGAGTCGGCTTCCCGCGCTCTGCCCGGGTCGCCCGCTGCGCTCAAATCCCAGCCGCGGCACCCGGCTCCGCGCTGCTCTTCGGCGCCGGCGGAGGGCGGTAGCGGCAGCGCGGCGCCGGCTCCTCCCCGGCCTCTTCCGCAGCGAGAGGGGCGGCATGTGGAGGCCGGGGGCGGCCGCTGCCTTGCGTGCGGCGCGGTGGGCGGCGGCGGCGGCGCGGCGGAGGAGCGGCGGCCCCGGGGACGGCCCGAGGGCGGGGGCAGCCGCTGCTGTCCGCGGCCGGGCGGTGAGTGCGAGGGGAGGGAGCGGTCTGCGCCCAGGGCGGGAGGGGGCGAGCCGGCGGCGCCGGGGCGGGTGGGGTGCTGGCCGGTCCCAGGGCGGGGAGGGCGCGGCGTCGGGCTGGGCGCTTCCTCAGCCCCTGCGGTCACCACCGCGAGGGGCCGGCCGAGGCCTCGCCGGGCCCGCCCCTCCGCTAGGCCGGGACTGCCGGCAGCTTCCGACGGCACCGAGTGCGGCCGCGTCGGGAGTGCGAACAGCGGTGAAAGCCGCGGCCTCGTGGCCTGACGCTGCGGGCCGGCGTGGCGCCGTGCCTTTTGACCCCGGGAGTGGCGAAAACGCGGAGGTGTCGGTGTGTATTTGATCGGCATCAGGAGTTGCGGCCGCACGGCGCTGGTCTGTGCTCCGTGCTGGAGAGAACCGAACCGAGCAGAGTAATTCTGTGTTAGAGGAAGAGGAAATAGTTCTTCTCTTTCCTGGTTCTCCACTGTGTGACTTCGATTGTAACAGATGAGAGTGCCCCAGTCTGCCTAGGTCAGTGGAGGATTCCCTCTGTGTTATTCTGCTCTGCAATATAAAATACGAATGTTTAATGTGGAGACAAAGCCTTCAAGGAACCATTTGGTTGTGTGACCAATGTACAGTTCATGGTCTTCACGTTCCATCTTTTAATTAACTTATTTTCAGCAGCAATTGCAATATGCTTCAGAGGTGAGGAGCAGTACTGTTCACTTCATGAATTTAAGAAGTACAGGAACTCTGAATGACAAAAGGTAAATCTCGTTCTTAGGATATTCTGGGAATACTTCTGTTCATATGAATATACATTCGTCTTTGAACAGCTGGTAGGACTGTCAAAACTAATGTAACGTACAACACAGCTGTGAACAGGAACAGTGTAGTTCTAGGGAGAATCATTTGGTGTGAGTGGGAAATAACTCATGCCTAAACACGGGCAACTCCCCATTTCTCACAGAATCATAGAATTGGTCAGGCTGGAAAAGACCTTAAAGATCACCGAGTCCAACCACAACCTAACTTTCTACCCTAACAACTCTCCTCTAAATCATGTCCCTGATCACCACATCAGTTTTTAAACACATCCAGGGATGGTGACTCAACCACCTCCCTGGGGAGCCTATTCCAGTGCTTAACGACCCTTTCTGTAAACAAGTGTTTCCTGATATCCAACCCAAACTTACCCTGGTGCAACTTGTGGCCATTTCCCCTCATCCTGTCTCTGGTGAGAAATAACATACATTGGGGAATGTGGAGTTGCTGATGTGCAGTGGCACGGCATGATGTGATGCTTGCGAGAGACCTCTTCTCATGCAGTGCAGCAGTTGAAGGCCCAGGGAATGCTGCTAGGCACCTGGAACAGTGCGAGTCCCCACCTGATCCTAAGGCCCTCAGTTCTCCACATCTGTAGGTGTTCCCGGGGCATCCATGACTCAAGTGGTGTGCAGCGTTTTTTGGCAACTGTCTTACAAGAAACTTAAAAAAGAACAAAACGTTCCAGTCAGTTGGAAGATACTGAGTCACCTATTCAGTTCATTGTAACAGCTGTTTTGCCACACCCATTAGCAAAATACGTGGTTTCACCCAGTTGTCTGTTGCTAGAGATACCCACCTACACACTCAGTTAAAAATGACTGCTACGGATAGGAGAATGTAGGTGACTAGATTACATTTACTTAATTAAAATTATTTAGACTTTGTTCTCACTTCTTTAGTTGCTTGAAGATGATAACAGAAGCTGTCTCACAAGTGTTGTAAACCTTAATTATGGGCTATAGATGTGCTTTGAGTCTCTCTGAAGGAGGTAATTGTAAAAGGATTAGTTCATGTGCACATTGTAGATGATGTCCCACTCCTGGATTGCATTGCTGATCCCTGTTGAGAAATCTAATGCTGCATGTAGTGATAGCATTTGACATTGATGTTTCTAAAGCTCTGCTTGTAGCTGTATTTTTTTCCTTATTGTCAAATGGCGTATATGCTTCAACAGGAGGTGCTGGAATCTATTTGTGGGGCCTCAAACAGTGCTTCTTGCACGGCATTTTCATAAGAAGACTGTGTTTTGAAGTCTGGGTCTGTCTCCTTAATACTCAGGGGCCATGATATCTATAAAACAACACAGTTTTATACACATAGTACACAATCTTTAATTAGAGGTCTATACTGCTCAAGTACTAAAACTCCACCTCCTCATGTAAGGTGCATTGTAACCTCCATTACCATAAGGAGGATGATTATTTGTGTCCTTAGACGTAATGCTAACTGTGAAACAATATTGATATTTTCACTGTGATAAACACAGTAATAAAATACCACCTTCCATGTTTTCCCTCCCTCCTGACTATGTGACTGTGTGTTATTTGTAGCTCTTTAGATGAGACCACTTATGAAAAACTGGCTGAAGAAACACTGGAATCCTTGGCAGATTTCTTTGAAGACCTCACAGATAAGCCTTTTACCCCAGAAGATTATGATGTCTCTTTAGGGGTATGTTTTAAAGGTTTTGTTAACCGTTCTAATTCCAGTAGACTGTTCTTTTCTTTTTTATTTCTTTTTTTTTTTTTTTTTTTTTTTTTTTTTACTTCGGAAGAGAATTTTGCACTAGTCACCTTAGTACCAGCACTTAAAATATCTTATTTATTTATTTACAGCTTTACTGCTAAAATTATGCCTTTTGCTAAGAAGTAGCTTGTGGTCCGTATAATTTGAGGATTTACAGAAAGTTTATTCTGTTTAAAAAAAAAAAAAAAAGACATGGGCTCATCTACTATTCTATACTAAGAGGAGAAGAAAACTGATTTCTAGTTCTTTCTATATTTCTCCAAACTCACGCTGACCTCAGGCATCATCAGCATCATCAGTCAGTTCACTCAAGGTAAATGCTAGGGTGGACCTACATGGCACAGTGCATGTGCATCACTGTATGTTACTGGTGGAGCAGTTTATGTGATCGCTCTGAGTACTGAGAAGGAATGCTGGTCTCCACCAGGCATTACGTAGTGTGTTTGATGTGGCTGTGCTGGAGAAGAGCAACAGAGGATGCTACATTGCAGCAGGTAGCTGCAAAAAATGAGAAGCGAGTCCGCCACAGTGGGAAGGCTGCAGTCCGATGGGAGGCAGGGTAGCTGTTAGCCTGACAGTTGGAGGCTTTAGTAGGTCACCCTCTCAAGTTCTTTGACAGAGGTGACAGGCTGATTAGAAATGCCACTGTGTTTCTTTAAGGAGTTTGTCAGTTTTATATAAAAGTCCTGAAATGGGCTGTATCTTGCAGCTTCTACGTGACTTGGAGGAAACCGTGTTTCTCCCTGCACTGACAGCTGCAGCACAGGTCTTCCTTTCAACGTGTTTCATCTGTTTTGCAAAATTGCTGCAGTCAGTTCATATCTTACCACTCAGATTGCTGACCACAAGTCCCATCAGTCAGGGTTCAGTGCTCAGGATATCGGGCCATGTGATTTGGGTTGCACTGTGCTAAACAAACAGATCAACCCTGTAGTTTGTTACTCTGTTCTTCTTCACTGTTCATTTTGCATAGCTAGGGTAGAAACACTGTTAGTTGGATACCACTGATGCACTTACAAGTATTATTTGTTGGTTTAATCAAATGTGCAATGTTACGGCTAATTACTTTTCTGGTGAATAGCTTAACCATTATTATTCAGCATGTTTTGGCATATCAGACAAAAATGAGCAAAAAGATTATCGTCAACCTCTTCAGTATTTTTGAACACTTCATTGCATGAGAATTGTGAGTCATCTGTCTGCCCTAGTTTTATCTTCAGGCACAGAAGAGTGCTTTGTGCTTGACATTCTCTCCCTGTGAGGTTGGACAGAATTATCTGTACATCCATCCTAATTTTTAATAAGTAATCTTTCGTAGTATAGGCTCTGTGATGACTGTCATCTTAGAAGTCTCAGGTAAGTCTACTGAGGATTGTTTCACACAAGCAAGACCAGTACTGTAGCATGCCACGAGGTGGCAAGCATGAGAAGGGTCGTCTGGCACCTGTGAGTTCTTAGGAACTTCAGTTTCTCACGCAGTTTGTAACTTTGAATCCAGGCAGGGGGAGGGCAGAGTCTCCTTTCATGAATAGGTACGTTTTTCCAGGAGGTCACAAACATTCATACAGTAGCACAAAACACATGCAAGAGTATTGAAACAATTCAATTTTATTGTATTTTAAGTTCCTAAAAGCTCAACTTGTGTCTTCTGGTGTTTCAAAAGTATTACAAAATACATGATTCAAAGTTTTAAAACCAGCAATAAAAGCTGACTTTTATTTAATTTGCAATGACAGAGCACTCTCCAACAGCTGACACTATAAGCACTGGTGAAAAAATGTTAATTCCTCACAAACCGATTTGCTTACAAATAGGTTTGTGTGTTTGCAGTACACAGCTTAATATCATCCTGAATACATACTATATGGCACTAAGGAGCCCACAGAAGAATGCTGGCATGATTGTAGCCATATTCAGGGCTAATTATCCCCATGTGCTCTTGTTCTGCTCTATCTCTACAGATCTAAGACTGTTGAGGTATGGAAAACATTGAGGTCATGATGACCAGAGAAGTCACCTACTCTTGTACTTCTAAAGCAATTTCCAGTTAATATAACTGACTGGGCAACCTGATGGCTGCAGTAACCAGTCATGCCTTTATGTATATATTATTGCTCACGCCTGTAGGGGTATCATCAAGCACAAGAAGAGCATGGGGATTGGAATAAAGAATTCAGACCTTGAGAGTATTATTTCACTGCTGATAATTCCCAAGATATGTCAGAGATTAGGAACATTTAATTACTCTATAGGAGAAGAAAGCACTAAGCTGCTGCATGCTACAAAGTAAGATGGGAGGGCATTAGGTAGTTGAAAATGATAGGTAATTATTTATACATTGGTAGTAGCATTAGAAGTAAGAGTAGCTCTAGTAGTACATTCTAAGGTGTAAAACATATAGATCCATTAGATAAGCTTTTTTGTGCTGGAAGCTGTGAAGTATTTGAAAAACTATATATTAAATGCGACCACATTTTCTACCCAAATCATCAAATTGCAGTCTGTAAAGGTTGAATTTTTGACCAACATAAATTCAGATCACTTGTCAGTTAATTTGTGTCAAAATATTGTGGGTTTTTTTTTGTTTCAAGTTAGAGCATGAACATTTTTGTTGTCTCCTCTTCTGCATATGCTCGTGAGAATGTCAAAAAGATTAATCATGTTGTCACTTAGAAATGTGCATGAGAGGGAGACCAGAAATTCTTGCTGGGATCATGGCCTAACACTGGTACACCTGAAAGAAAACAGGCCTTCTGGAGTTCAAAAGGGGAACATTTTTAAGGTGTGATTCAGGATCTAGGCACTTCATCAGAATTATTGCAGTGAAGAGTTGTGTTGTGTTTATTCTCTTGGGAACTGTTGCAGTTAAAAAAAAAAAAAAAAAAAAAAAAAAAAAAGTAAAATTGGGAGTCTTGGGTATTCAGTCTCTACACAGAGAGATCCTTGACTCTGAAACACACCAGCTCATGCCTGGAAAATGTTGGTTTTGAGTTGTGTTTCAGCCTTTCTAAAACAAACTACCAGCTATTCCAAGATCACAGGTCAGGGCTCGGATGCATTCTCTGAGCAGTGCTATTGTGAGTGGTACAAACACTAAATAAAACTAACCAGAAGGTTTGAAGTCTAGGTCAGGCTCAAAAATATTCAGGTTGTCTTAAATATTAGCACGTGTTGTTTATTCATAACTTTAATTCTTCCAGGCTATTGTTACCTGGACAATATTTGGGAGTGTAGCGCAGATGTGCGAGTTTCTGTTTATTTACTGCAATTATGTATTTCTTGTCAAGTAACAGGTTACAAATTTAAATTTCTGTTTATTTTCTTTGTGATTCAAGAGTGGAGTTTTAACAGTTAAATTAGGTGGAGACATGGGAACATATGTAATCAATAAGCAAACACCTAACCGGCAGATTTGGCTGTCCTCTCCCACAAGGTGAGTTACGTGTGAGGTATGTCACACCTGAAAATGGGGTGGAAATGTGCTTCCCCTTTTTCTTAGCATTGAATGGATTGGATTATCTAATGCCACAAATAGCCCCGTTCCTTAACGTATGCTCTAAATATGGTTTAATCTAAATGTTTGTTAAGAATTTGTTAGTGAGGTTTGTGGCATGGTGTAGTATGCTGATATGCCTAAATTAGTCGAGGAGATGTGTAACAGAGTTTTCGTGTGCTGCTGCAGTCTGAAACCAATGTCTGCAAGAGTATAACCTACTAAAAGGGTGAAAAAAACAAAACAATAACAAAAAAAACCCAACCACAACAACAACAAAAAAAACCAAGCCAGGCATGGTTAAAAAAAGCACAGAAAAGCTCTGTTGGAAAAGGAGAGATGGTGATGTTATAATCTAAACTGCTTTTTGTATTTAGACAGGGTGGCTCCTTCCCTTTTAAGCTTGTAGGATTTCCTGCTTTATGTGCTCTCCTACTAGTTGTTTTTGTCAAGCTTCTGCACTTTATGGGAGTCTTGGCTAGCTGTTCCTCTGCCTTCTCTAATGCTCTGTTTTGATCCATTTAGTTTTTCTAGCTGGTTTCAACAGGGAGGGCAGCCAGATATGTGGAGAAGATATTATAGCTGACTCCCTTTCCAAAAAAGAAGTGTCCTCTGCCACCATTCTTTACAGAGCACACAGGGAGTCAGTGGCTGTCACTGGTGAAGGAACCAGCTAGCTGGAAACTGTGAGCATGCCCAGTAGCTATGCAGGCACACTTCTTGAAGGCTGTTTGTAGAGAGTGTACTAATTGCAAAGCTGGGAATAGTTTTGCAGTAGTTGAATTCTGTAGAAGGTTTGTGTAAGACAAAAAAGAAAAAAAATAAATCAGATTTCAAGAGAAACAATTTTAATAAAAGTGAAATTTGCCTAAAGAAAATTCTAACTGCTGTATTAAACTTAGATACTGCTTGGTGCACAGCTTATTTTGTGAGTCATCTTCCTCTACTAACAACTCCTCTCCAATCCCAGAATGCTTTGTTGTTTTTTTTTTTCGATTAAATAACTTTAAATAACTTACCAACAAGTATGTGACTTTTTAAGGTATACTGGCCTAACAAGCTTATTCTTCAGACAGATGCAGGCTGTGTGTCACCATTCATTCATTCATTTCATGTATTTTGCACAAAACAAAATTCCTGGGCTTGGATTCTGCTTCTGGTTTTTGTGTTGCTGACACAAAGTTTTCATCTGCTTACAGAAGCCAGAATTCAGAGGTTCGTTACCTATCTGGAGCCAAATCTCAGCTAAGACATCCAAGCACTGGAATGTGGAATTTGTGAGCACATGCTGGAGTTGTAGCATTTTTAATTGATCTGTTAGTGAGAAAAAGGGAGAAACCTGAAAATTCTTGGCATTTTTTCAGCATTATGAAGAATGATTCATCAACAAGTGTTCCTTTTTGTGCTTCCTTAACTGATAGTAGTGAAATTTCCTTGAGTATTGTTCATTATGTTGTTATCGTGTGTCAGTACACCCAAGTGAACTTGTTTTTCTTGAGCCTAATTTTGTTGACAAGTTGAGAAGAGGAAAAAGTGTGTGTGCAATCTGGCAGCAGTGCAACTGCAGTAATTTGATGCAACTCCTTTGACTGGAAAGATTTTTGAACCTTACACAGCACCTTTTAAGGTGATACTGTACCTCTTATTCTTTAAAAATGTATGCAGGCTTTGTGTGAGAATATAACATTTAGCCCTTGTAAGCATTTGTAGAGCTCACAAGATTCTTGCTTAAATTGTAAGTGTGTAAATGAAAACGTTGTATTTGTACAGTATTTTGGGGATTCAGAGAACTGTGGCAGTGTTTCACTGCTAATTCTTATTACTAATACTTAGCAAGTAACATCTCTGGGTGTAAGACAGTACGAACACATGATAATGCTGCAAAGACAAAGGAGATCCCCATTCACATGCAGCAAGTGAGATAGCAGTGGAAGTCATTTATTATTTCTTATAGCTTGGTTAGTGGTTTAAAAACTCATTTAAATACTGTGAATACTTCAGGGTATTTGAGGTTCAGATTAGTTTTGGGGTGTGTGTGTGTGTGTGTGTGTGTGTGTGTGTGTTTGAAGAGAAGCCACAGGTTGTTCCTGTGTGTTTATAGGACAGTCTGCCATCTAGCAGACCTGTGTGCAGGTTGTCTGAGTTCTAAGTCACTCTGTGTCCTATCTATGAGCTCAAGTCCAGGCATAAGAGTGATGGTTCACCTGTTTATCCCTGCTGAACATTTTGTTTCCTTCTGGTTTTTTTTTTTATTTTTTTTTTTTTTTTTTATAGCTTCTGTAGCTGTTGCTAGAGGTAGTGAGCACCTTTCAACCATTGCTCCTGTTTCAGATATGGAGAGTTAGGTGGCTACAAAAGTCTGTAATGGAACCCAGGTGTTCTGGTTCTTACTTTCTTGACACTTAATGCAAGAATGAAGAATCAAGCCAACAACTATATAGTAGTAGAAGGAAAAACAGATTTTTAATGCAGAACTCCCACATGGCAGTACATATTTGCATTCAGATGGTAAATTGCATCCAGAAAGTGAGTGAGAATGGTGATAAGTGTTCTGCTGTCTTATCTGCATATAACTGTGCTAAAGCAACTAATCAACAGCATTAATTGAGCCTCACACAAGCATCCCTTGATGATAGTTGTGTATGAGATAATTATGTGGGTGATGGAGGAAGTGGGGGAGACTAGTGCCAATAGCAAGAAGGACAGGAGCTTGTATCGGCTTGGAGTAACTGCTACGTCTTGCCACCTTTCACACAAGTCTCTCAGATGGCGCAGCAGTTCCTGCCAGCTCTGGCCTTTTCTGCTTTGCTTCCTCACACAGCCTGCACATCTGTCTTCACAGTCTTTCTGGGCACTTTCTGGGTTACATTATAAGTGCATGCCTCCAGCATTTCCGTATGAATGACCTGTACTCACAGCGTGTGTTTTGCTTTCCAGTGGGCCCAAGCGCTATGACTGGACTGGACGGAGTTGGGTATATTCTCATGATAGAGTGTCCCTTCATGAACTACTATCAAAAGAATTTTCAGCAGCACTAAAAACTAAATTGGATTTATCCTGCTTAATATATTCTGGGAAAGAAGATACCTGATGATGTGCTACCTCGTGCAAGTTTAAAGACTTTAACCACCAGCGCTTCCGTGGTTTCTGAGTACCTGAGCTTATTTCTGTTGGTTTTTTCTTGACACCACTATGTGCGAGAACATGAAGAGAATATACTTTTTTCTCTAGTATTCAGTCTTTGAGTTTCTATGATGCAGCTTGAATGTGTATCCATGCAGTACAGATAGATTAGATGTCCATTCATTGCCATCACTGCATTTTCTACTTTCTTACTGTTGAAATCAACTGCGGTCCTGTTCGGATGTAAGGACTGGCGTCGGGTGACCTCTGCCCAGTGCACAGAAGCCATATTTTTTGGTGAGATATTAACCCTAAACAAGAAATGTCTGTGAATCACAGTGATGTAAGTTACTGTACTGTGATGCATGGTATTAAAATTTGCAGCTATTGATAAGGTTTTAGTGTTAGTGCAAGTAAATAATGCAGGGGAGCCAAACTGAACATGTCGTACAGGAAATGACTGGCAGAGGAGAACTTTTAGTTTTGCAAGATGGATGTAATTTTTCTCTCAGTATTGCAGAACTTGCTCACTTCTCCAAGTTCTATATTCTTTGACATCGGGATATTTTTCTGAACAAAATTACCTACAGGTCTGTGTGTTTGTAAGCATCATGTGACTCAAAAAGGCTGATGTGCAGTGTTCAAGCTCTGCCAATACTTTATTCTCTTCCTGTGATTTTTTTTTTCTTCCTGTTTCTACTCTTTGTAGAGCAGAAAGATGTAATTTATTGCCTGTATGTTAGTTGGTAAATGGAGATTGTGTCGTGCTAGCAAAAATTTGCACTGCTGCATTTCTTAAGTGGGTTTAGATTTTCACCACGATGCAACATGGAAGCAATTAAAAGCTTTCACACATTTTGAACCTCGAGAATGCTTTAACACTTGCAGTGTTGCATTATTGCCACTGACTGTTCTTAATTGCCTTTAAAATGGAAGCACAGTTGTTGACTAATTACTGTGATAACATAAAATATTTTTTCATTGTATTATAAGTATATGGTGTAAGATGTTTCAATGCAAGTTACTTTTCTTGCTCATTCTGACACTTCTGATTAGCTTGTCTGGATGGTTTTGGCTAGCTAGAATTTTACACATGCGGATAATTTCAGATGGCATCATTGCCCTGTACTTGCATTTGAAGTGTATGTTGTACCAACTATTTCTCACCATGAATTAAGTAGAAAGTACCATTTCCTTGGAACACAATCATGATTGAGTCTGCAGACTGTGATCATGTGAATTGTGCAAACTGTTACACAAACTGGTTTTTAAATCAAAATACGAAAGGCCAGTATTATCTAAAATAGAAGCTGCAGAATGATTCGTAACTGGTATATAACATTTTTTTTTTTTTTTTTTTTTTTTCTCAAATGAAGGCTAAAACAGGACATCTTTTTGCTATTTGAAATTAAAATTTAAAAAATACAATGCATGGGAAGTGATGATATTCTGATCTGTCTCCTAGTAATTGAAAAAGCTATTTAGACAAACCTGGATAGATGCTCATTGCCTAATACGAGAATTGGGGATGTTTCCTCCCGGGTCTTCCTTTGCCTGATCACATACAACTTGTCTAATTATTTTTTGACTTTTCAAAAAACTACTTTCCCAAGTAATTCGCATGCAGCTTACCCATCAACGTGTATCTGATTCATATTTTGAGACTCATTCTCCATGCCCTCTCATCATCATAGAATCATAGAATCCTTTGAGCTGCCAGGGACCTTTAAAGGCCATTTAGTCCCACTCCCCTTCAGTGAACAGGGATGTGCACAGCTACATCACGTTGCCCGGAGTTTGATCCAGCCCCTCTTTGATAGTCTCCAGGGATGGAGCATCAACCACATCTCTAGGCAAGCTGTTCCAGTGCCCTCACTGTAAAAGACTTTTTCTGTATATCCAACCTATATCTGCCCTCTTCAAGCTTGAAGCCATTTCCCCTTGTTCTGTCACAACTGACACCACTGAAGAGTCTGTCTCCCTCATTCCTGTAGCTTCCCTTGAGATACTGAAAGGCCACTGCCAGGTCACCTTGGAACTCTCTCTTCTTATACACTTGCACCAAAATGAAGCTGCACGTAGAACTCATTGTGTTAAGGTGTTATTTCCATGTGTGATGATGAAGACCACAGTTATGCATATTATGCTGAATTATTAGTGTTTCTTAAAATGCTCGCTTTATTCAGGACTTGGCTAGCCAGGATGGCCTTTCTAAGAGCACTTCAGCTTTCATGTTTGAGATGCCTTCCCCTTCTCCTGTAGCACTACTGCTATTTATGCAAACTGTTTCCTGGTTTTATCTAGCTGAATAACAATGTGTTTTAATCTAACTGGGAAAGATGAATAGCATCAGTGAGATAAAAGGAGGGATTCTTATCCATGTATACAAAGTGAATCATAGGACATGACTCATTTCTGCTCTAATACTGGTATGGCATTCTAAGTAAGGGCAAGGCCTTAAACAGCCATCGTGCCTGTGAATGGAGGCACAGGAGGAATTCTTATCCTGATGTCAGACTTCTCATATTGCCCCAAGACAAAATAAGTCTTCTGTAGTGTTTTTTTATTTCTGTAACTTACCTGTATTAACTGGTTGCCCCACAGTTACAAACCTGATGTCGTATCAATTGTTTCTTTCTTCGTTTCTCTGAAAAGGAAGACCTGAAGGAAAATCCTCTGATACTCATTACAGACAGTTAATAAGAATACTTGCGTTACTGGTGGCTTTTTCCCCACAGAACAGTTGCTCTGTCCTCAGTAGAGGAAAACATGTAAAATGCTTCTGAAAGGCAGATTTTGGTATCTGAAATTATACTGAATGCTCAGGAGAAAGGGAGGTGTGTTTGTTTTTTTCTTAAGGTGTATCAGAGTTTTCTTCAACAGCTAATCACCCTTTCTGCAGCTGGTGATAGTGTTTGCTCCTGTCCTACAGCCTGAACGTCTCAGCATTTCTAACCTTGCTAAAGTCATTTCCTGTGTACCAGCCAGTCCTCTAGAAATCTGTATAGATTCAGGTAGTGGAGCTTAGCATAGCACAACTGCTTTCCATCTGTGATGGTTGTAACATGAGTTATGTGCCTAAATGCTTAGCTGACGTTTCTTGTTTGAGTGTCCTTTCTGATTGTGGTAACTCTTAAGCAATGATATCTCCTGTCTGCAGGGTTGTTCCATACATTAACTCATCTTGTCTTGTTCTTTAACATTCCTGAAGTCCTTTAGCAGCTTGGGAAATTGGACATAGACATGTTCTGAAGAACTCATAGGTGAGTAGGGGTTGGGGAATGGTGGGGCAGGGGGACGGCATGGAAATCCTGTGTAATTACTGTCAGCTTTGCATCACTGTACTAACCAGTGCTGGAACATGAGGGAGTCTGCAGGAGTGAGTTCTTGGAAGGAAGGCAGAGGCCTGCCGAAATACTTAACATTGAAAATAAAGAAGGAAGCATGAGAGGGGTGGAAGACGCTCAGAAAGAGATGCCCAGCGGTTGGTGTTGCTGGCAGGACACGGGGACTATGGGCAAGCTGTGTCTTGTGGCATTTGGGAATGGCATTTTAATTTCACTCTGCACACCACTATTCACATCAGTTTAACACTATTATTTTACAGTTTTACCTTATCAAACAGATGTTCCAGTCTCTGTTGCTTGTTGAGACTGTTCAACTCATTTAAAAATAAGAAAAGTTGTTTGGAGTTATGTCTCTCTCTATGCCAAACCGTCAATGTAAACTGTACTGTTGGCCATCTTAAAATAAAGACAAGATTTGTGGAGATAGATGCTGCAGGCTGTTTCCCCAGGGGCAGAATGAACAGAGCTATGAACAAACACTTTTTTTTTCAAATGGTAGTTTATTCCAGATCTCTTCTGCAGTTCAGGTTAAGCGATGACGGATAAAGTACATCAGGAAAGAACAGATCTGTTGGCATGAGCCATACAGAGCTGCTGCTGTTCTCTTCAGTTTGCTCATTAAAAAAAAATACTATTCTTGTAATTATACCAGGTGGTCAGTATTACAGTGAGTAATTCCATAAGCATTGTTTGCTTCCAGATGTAGGTTTCTGCATCAGCCACCTGTGTTCTCTGCTGTTCTTCTAAAAAGTAAAAGGGAGTATACTAAATCAGTAGCATTACTCCTCTTCAGAACATACCAGCACTGAGCATCATACAGCCAGCTTTGCCAAAGTAGCTTCAGAACAGGAAAACGTTCTAAGAATGAACAAAGTTTTAAAATATTCATTAAGGAAAAAAGACACCAGGCACGGTGTAAACCAAATAATCTGGCGTGCCTGGGTATCACACCGCATTTCCACTCCTTAACGCCTCGATTCGGGCTGCTGTTGTGCTACTGATGGCAGAGCCTCTCAAGAGCTGACAGAAAACATCGAGTTGCTTAATTTGGCCCTTTTGCTCATTCGTTTTTGCTGTTTAGAGCATTTAGAGAGCTGTGGTTGCTTAAAGACTGTGGTATGCACAGGCATGTTAATTATTAACAACAGCTACCATTGCCTTTTGAAAATAAATAACATTTGAATCCAGTCTCAACGTGCTGTCAATAAAATGGGCTCTCTCTGCCTTCCGGG